GTCTTCAATCTCTGTACAACTTTAAATGTTTGTCAGGTTTTTGGCCAGGTGCCAAGATTTTTTTTAAAATATCCTTTTTTAAGGAAATCCCTGATCAAGAATCGTGGATAAAGAAATATTTTCAAGAATTTTCGTGCTGCATATACAGGGTGAGATAAAAAAAAACTGCAACAAAGTTAAATTCCACATTTTTTTTTAAATTTTATTGAATAAAGCAAAAAATGTCGGAAATAGCATCAAACTTTAGAATAAGTTTAGATTTGTCGAATTGGTCGTCTATGGCACGAATTATGGCCTTCAAACGGCCGATGAAACCGTCACACGCTGCCCGAATGTTGCTCAGCGGTATTTTGACCCGATTTCGGCGAAGCGCCTTGGATATTTTTAAGTGCCAACCTTGCTTTCCAAAAAACTCCAAACACAATAGTCCAATGGATTGGTATCCGGAGATTTTGGTGGCCATTGTGCGCTGGAAATGAAGCGAGAAACCTAATTTTGTAACCATTTTTGGGCAGCGCGTGCTGAGTACGATGGTGCCGAGTCCTGTTGGAATGTCCAAGGTCTCCGGCCAAAATGTTTGCGTTCCCAAGGCTTTAATACACCCTGCAGAATATTTTCACGATAATATTCGGCATTTATTCTGAAGCCACGGTCGATTTATACGAGGGGAGAGCGACCATCGGCTGTTATGGCTGCCCACACCATCACCATGGCCGCCGCTTGAGTTCTGCTGGCCAACCGAAGGTGCACATTTTCAGCTGACCTCTTTGGCAATGAAACACGATCATTTTGTTTGTTTACAAACGGCTGGAAAAAGAATGTTTTCTCATCGGATAAACCGAAATTCGGCAGTTCACAACTTTTGGCCAAGCGAAGCAACTCTTTAGCTCTTCTGAGTCTATTTTCTATCTGTTTCGGTGTAATTTCTTGCACATTTTGGAATTTCAATGGCTTTACTCCGAGCTCATTTTTCAATATTTGCCGAAAGGAATATTGCGATTTTTTTATCAAGTCGCTTCTTTACTTTTCGAACTATTTCTGCTGATGTTGCTGTTTTCTTCTGTCCACTTCCTTGACGTCGGGCTACGCTACCAGCAGTATCACGGTAAGGATACACAAACGATTTATTCACATTTAAATGCTGAAGTGCTCTGATGATAGCCAGCCAGCCACTTGTGGTTTTCCAGCCAAATATAAAGAAATCACACTATCACGCTTTAATTTCAATCCCGAATAACTTTTTTTCTGGAAAATTCTCACCAAAATGCATTTGTACGCTTGTTAACAATATAATGAGCTGTGACTGGAATAATTTTAACAGCTGTCGGACGAGTGGCTTAGAAATGACAGCAGTCTAAAGTTGGTTGCAGTTTTTTCATCTCATCCTCTTTACTAATTTTCGTATTATGTCAACGCTACAAACCATATACATATGCATGTAATAGGTCATATGCTGGTAAATATATAGGTCGGGAAACCCGAATTGTGTTTAAAATTTTGAGATGTACTCAATTTCCGGTTTAGCTCCACCCCCCCATTTACCATGATTTTTCCATTGATTCCCCCCACCTGTCCAAACTTCTTTCACATTTCACATTTTTAATATTATTAAAAAAAAAAAAATATTTAATGAACAAAAAATTGTTTACCAATTCAATCGCATCCAACAATGGATGATGACTGACTGGCCTTAATTAGTCTCCTTTTCCCTCCGTGTCTCTCTCATTTTTCTTCGAACTTTCAACAGCCAATTTGAGTCGAATTAACAAACAATATATTTTTAATTTACTGGCTGGTAGCTCACGTCCATGCGTTGCTAATAAGCAATGGAATTCCTTTTTTCTGATCGATTGTTGCTGGGATATGCAAAAAATATGAAATGCTGCTCAAAATAAATTCAGTTGATGTTGATTTTATTATCTCTCTTTTTTTTGGTTAATATTGAAAATATATTGCCATTTTATTTTGGTATACCCAGGAATTCAGGGATGGCAATGGAGAATTTTTGTTTCTAATAGATCAGATTCATTATAAGGATGAAATGCAGGAAAAGGGCATTGTAATTTATTGGCTAAATAAAATGGTCACTTGGGTAGTCCATTCCAGGAGTCACCTAGGTCGGTCCCTGGATATCACGGTGTGAAAAAAGAATTTAAATAAGTTAATATCTGCGATCAACTATTTTGCCATGCACTTGTATGAAGACATATTTTCGTTGTTATACCCTTCACCATACATACAGGGTGAGATGAAAAAACCATTCATAAGGGGAAGGAAGAGGAGAATGCTATCTTTGGTGTTTTCCGTGGTGTATCGGTGTGTGTGTGTGTCTGTGTTGGGGGTGTGTCTCTAAAATTGTTTTTATTGTTGTCTCTTTATGTGGGATTTGGTTGGGGGAAGGGTGGGAGGTAAAGGAATTGATGGATAAATGTTTTGGCAAAAAAATTTAAAAAGTGGACTGAAAGAGATGGGATTAGAGAGAGGGAGAGAGGGAGAGAGAGAGGGAGGGAGAGAGAGAGGGAGAGAGAGAGAGAGGGGAGAGAGAGAGGGAGAGAGAGAGGGAGAGAGAGGGAGAGAGAGAGAGGGAGAGAGAGAGGGAGAGAGAGAAAGAGAGGGATAGAGAGGGAGGGAGAGAGAGAGAGTGAGAGAGTGTATGTAAGACCTTTGACAAGGCCTTCAATCCAAGAAAGCTTCTTTAAGGTGTCTGTCTATGGAAGACCTTTTATCAGAATTTTGCCGCATAATTTTTTTTTTAAGCTTTTATCCGTAAAGTGACATTTTAAGGATTTCTACGAAATGTAGACCCACGGTCCATAGAAGATGTTTTTCGTAGAAGGCTTTATTGGATCTCTTTCTTCAAAACATCTTCAATGCTGCCGGAGAAGATTTTTTGAGGGTTTCTGTTTATAGACGACTCAATAAAGTCCTGCTGCCTATAGGATTCTTTTATACAGGGTGAGATGAAAAAACTGCTACCAACTTCAGACTGCTGTCATTTCTAAGCTACTCGTCCCAAACATTCCAACATGACTTAGCACCATCGCACTCAGCACGCGCCACCCAAGAATGGTTACAAAATGAGGTTCCTCGCTTCATTTCCAGCGCACAATGGCCACCAAAATCTCCGGATACCAATCCGTTGAACTATTGTGTCTGGAGTATTTTGAAAAGCAAGGTTTCCACTAAAAAATAACAAAGTGTCGATCGCCGGAAATGGGCCAAAATACAGCAGAGCATCATTCGGGCAGCGTGTGACGGTTTCATTGGCTGTTTGAAGGCCATAATTTGTGCCAAGGGTGACCAATTCGAACAAATCTAAAATTATTCAAAAATATCATGCTATTTCCGACATTTTTGCTTTCATTCAATAAAATTAAAAGAAATGTAAAAATTTGACTTTGTTGCAGTTTCCTCGCCCTGTAGTATAGCGGGTATATTAAGTTCGTCATTCAATTTGTTATTCATCGATATAATAATTTTAGATCAAAAAATCAGCGTAATTCTAGACGATTAAGCCCAGTCCGTCCGTCGGTTCGTCTCCGTCCGTTTGTTGTAATCACGCTAGAGCCATTACAAATAAAGATAGGAAGCTAAAACTTTGCACCGATCTATCTTTTGTTTGCAGGCAGGTCAAGTTCGAAGATGGACTATATCGGTCTACGATATAGCCCACCACCTCCCCATTAACGTTACCTCCCATATTCGGTTTTTATGATTTTAGCCGCATTTTTCACTGTTTAAAAATCCCCACAAGGAGGTTCCCACCTGGGAAAGACTTGATCCATGTTTCAGTATGGTACTCATATATAACGGTTCGCCAAGATATTCGGTATTTTCATGATTTTAGCGACATTATTCACCGGAATTGTTCCAATTTCGTATTTGAAGTTCGGAATCATTTTCGTCAATATGTAGGTAGACGCACATCCTATACCTACCTGCATGTACGTCTGTCTGTCTGTTGTAATCTCTCGAAAGAATTAAATTTTAAGTTAAGGTTAAGTTCGAAAATAGGTCACGTCAGTCTACGTTTTCGCATAGCCCTCATATTACGATACCTCCCGATATTCGGTATTTTAATGATTCTAGAGACATTATTCACCGGAATTGTTTCGAGTTTCGTATTTAAAGCTCGTAATGGGTACTACAGCCTATGACAAACATTTGCGTATGCAGGTCCACGTTTTAATATAGCTCCTATGTCACGGTACCTCTCAATATTCGGTATTTTATATTTATTTCGTATTTAAAGGTCGTAGTGGGTACTACAGTCTGTGAAAAAGTTATGCAATTCCACGCCTTCTTATAGCTACCATAAAACGATACCTGCCGATATTCGGTATTTTGATGACATTAGCGATATTATTCAATGGATTTGTTTTAAATTTCGTATTTGAAGGACCTAATGGGTACTACAGCCTATGACAAAAATTTGCGTATACAGGTATTCGTCTTCTTATTTAAAGCTCATAATTGTACTACAGCCTATGTCAAAATATGCGAGTCCACGCCTTCGTATAGCTACCATGTAACGAAACCTCCTGATATTCGGTATTTTGATGATATTTGCGATATTATTCAATGGATTGAAATGGATATTTGAAGCACCTAATGGGTAATACAGCCCGTGACAAAAATTTGCGCAGGTCCACGTCTTCGTATAGCCCACATGCAATTTCGTATTTGCAGTTCGTATAACGGTACCTTCCTTTGCTGGGTATTTTGATGATGTTTGCGACATTATTAATCGAAATAGTTTCAAATTTCGTATGTGAAGTTCGGAATCGGTACTATTGTGTATCGGTACCAAAAATTGTACCGTCTTCGTATATGTCAGATATTCGCGTTTTCATTTAAACGTTATTTTTCGACGAAATTTTCTTAACATTTTGCATTTTTCTTCCAAACGGTGGAGGGTACTTAAAAATCGACCCGCCTGAATTTAGCTGTTTTTCTACTTGTTTTACTAATAATGTTTTTGTCCCTAATTTTATTTTCAGATTCTTCTATTTATATCATTTCGCCTTCTACGCGTACCACTATCGTTTTAGTGGACAAAATCGCAGTTTGGCACTGGTCTCATCCTGGCTGTTCATACAGGTAAGTAAAAGTGTGCCTCACATCTTTTTCAAAAAATATATATTGCGGAATAAATATTATTTTTTGGAGGTTGTATTTTTCAAATTTTTTTTTTTTTTTAAATTTCAATAGTTTTTTAATCCAGACAGATTTTTCAATTCCAAAATCGGTTTCACAGTTCATTGTCCCAGCAGCTGTGACGATGCGACTACCCGTATTCTTCTACCATGGCATATTCTTAACGATTCACAATTATAGCCCCCCAAAAGTCCCTGAAAAAATCAAAAAAGTCAATGAATATATCCCTCACAATCCCTTAAGGAATATTTTAAAAAATAAAGATTTTAGTCCCCATATCCATTGAAAATGTTCTTTTCAGATATTTCCCCAAATAAAGTCTTAAATAACCAACGATTTTAGTCTTAGTGCCCCTAAAGAAATCCAAGTATTTGTCGCTTGGTTCATGAAAATATCTGAGATTGTTTCCCTAAAAAATATTCCTTATTAATCCTCAATTATAGCTCTAAAATATTCCCAAAAACTCCACGTTTTTTGAACTTTAGTTCCTCAGAAAAAAATCCACAACAGTAAATAAATAAATAAATAAATAAATAAAATAAAATAATAATAAATGAAATCCGTTAAAAATTCTGTTAAAATTTAAGAAATATCGAATGCCTATACGACGACGTGTAACTGCACAGGCAATTTTGTCATAAATTATTACAATCTTCGTATAGCCCCCATATCCCGTACGGGAAGTACGGTATATGGGGGCTATACGAAGACGTGGACCTACATGGCCCATTTTCTGTTTTATGCTGCAGTATCTATTACGAACTTCAAATACCAAATTTTAAACAATTCCGATAAATAATGTCGCTCGTTATATGGGGGCTATACGAAGACGTGGACCTGTACATATAATTTTCTGTCTTAGGCTGTAGTATCCATTACGAACTTTAAACACGAAATTTGAAACAATTCCGGTGACTAATGGCGCTAAAATCATCAAAATACCAAATATCGGGAGGTACCGTTATATGGGGGCTATAGTAAGACTTGGACCTGCACAGACAGTTTTCTGTCTTAAGCTGAAGTATTCATTTTGAACTTCAAATGCCAAATTTGAACCAATTCCGGTGAATAATGTTGCTAAAATCATGTAAATGCCCAATATCGGGAGGTACCGTTATATGGGGGCTTTACGATAACGTGGACCTACATGGCCCATTTACGAACGTAACCTGCCTACTGGCAGAATATACATGTGTGCAAAATTTTAGCCTTCTATCTCAATTCGTTCGAAAGATAGCATGATTACAACAGACACACAGACAGACAGACATGGCTGGATCGTCTTAGAATTTTACGCTGATCAAGAATATATATACTTTGTTGGGTCTGACATGAGTATTACGAGGAGTTACAAACGGAATGACAAAATTAATATACCCTCCATAGTATGGTAGAGGGTATAATAAACCATGTTAAAATGCATTTGAATATACGGATAAAGGCGCTGAGGGTATCAATTTGTCGGCAAACCGTCTGATACTCTTTAACATGTTAAATGGAATTTTTAAATTTTTACCATGAAGATCTTCTAGTGTGAACATTTTTCGACTTTGCGTTGTTGTTTTTTTTTTTGTTCAACATCCAGTTTAAGGTTTCTCAACAAGAATAACCTTACACAAAAAAGCATATTTTCAAATTCAAATTGTTTTGAATGAATGGTGTTTTTCTTTTTCCTTTGACTACACATTGTGTGAATGACTTGGATTGTTATTCCCGTTGTCACCTTAGAGTTTCTATTCGCTTTTAACAAATGTCTAAAATAACAAATTGTAAATATGTTTCATTCACTCACTCCCACCATTTCGAAAAATGCGTTTTCTCTCTTCTTTGGCAACAAGGTAATTAATGCCGACCCAATTATGGCAGATTATTAATTATTATTGAGTTCTGAGATCTGTTCTGTGTTTTTTTTTTCTTTCGCTCTCCTCTTTTCTTGGGCTTCTTTTGAGTGGCTGTCGCTTTATTTTCCAAATAAAACAAATATGAAACCAAGAAAAAACACCAGCACACACACACTCTCGCTTTTTCCTCCCAACCATACTTTGTAGTTCACGTGTACCGTGTCTTTACAGTTCGTTATCGTGCTGTAGTTGTTGTTTCTCATTCACCGTTTGTCGCTGTTACTACTCGTCACCCAACAAATACACGTGTCAAATAAATGTTGTTGATGTTGTAACAGATACATTTGTATGAGGCATATAAGAAGCGGATTTGTGTCTGTGTGTGTGTGTGTAAATAGGTAGCTGTGTTCAATGACAAATGTGTATATATTCACTGACATTCCAGGGATGCAAGAATGTAGGTATGTATGTTATGAGGTGGCAGGGGATGGTGAATGGTTGAAAAATTCGCGACAAGAAATGTAAAATTCTTCGATGAGCCTGAATTCATAAAATGATGTTACATGTTTTTCTGTTTTTATTTTATATCCTCAGCTATATGGCTAGAGAGGGTATGCAGGGTGAGATAAAAAAGACAAACGCCATAATTTTTAATTTTTTTTTAAATGTTATTGGATGAAAGCAAAAACTGTCGGAAATAGCATCATATTTTAGAAAAAGTTTAGATTTGTTCGAATCGGTCACCTTTGACACGAATTATGGCCTTCAAACGGCCAATGAGACCGTCTCACGCTGCCCGAATGTTGCTCTGCGGTATTTTGGCCCATTCCCGGCGAAGCGCTTGCTTGGGGTGATCGACAATTTAGTATTTTTTAGTGCCAACCTTGTTGGCCATTACCATATTCAAATTCGAAACTTGAAATAAACGGTGAATAATGTAGCTAAAATCATCAAAATACCGTACGTAGGGAAGAACCGTTATACCGGAGCTATGCGAAGACCTCGACCTGCATAGACAATTTTCTGTCACAGGCTGTAGTTTCCATTACCAACTTCAAATACGACATCTCAAACAATTTCGGTGAGTATTGTACCCAAAATTGTCAAAATACCGAATATAGGGAGGTACTGATACATATATGGGGCTTATACGAAGACCTGCATAGACAATTTTCTGTCACAGAATGTAGTTCCCATTACGAACTCTAAACACGTAATTTGAAACTTCTCCGGTGAATAATGACGCTATAATCAATAAAATACCGAATATTGGGAGATACCGTTATATGGGGGTTATGGGAAGACGTGAACCTGCATAGACGATTTTCTGCCTTAGGCTGTAGTATTCATTACGAACTTCAAATGCCAATTTTGTTTTTAAAAATACTCCAGACACAATAGTCTAACGGATTGTTATCCGGAGATTTTGGTGGCCATTGTGCGCTGGAAATGAAGCGAGGAACCTCATTTTGTAACCATTCTTGGGTGACGCGTGCTGAGTCCTGTTGGAATGTCCAAGGTCTGCGGCCAAAATTTTTGCGTGCCCAAGGCTTTAATACACCCTCCAGAATATTTTTGCGATAATATTCGGCATTTATTTTGATGACACGATCGATTAATACCAGCGGAGAGCGAGCGTCGGCTGTTATGGCGGCCTACACCATTACCATGGGCGGCGCTTGAGTTCTGGTGGCCAACCGAAACTTCACATTTTCAGCTGACCTCTTTGGCAAGTAAACACGATCATTTTGTTTGTTTATGAACTGCTGGACAACAAATGTTTTCAAATCGGAGAAACCCAAATTTCAAATTCGGCAGTTCACCACTTTCGGCCAAGCAAAGCAACTTTTTAGCCCTTTTGAGTCTATTTTCTTTCGGTTGCTGTGTATGTCCTTGCACTTTTTGGAATTTCAATAACTTCAGCCCGAGCTCATTTCAACATTTGCCGAATGGAATATTGCGATCTATTCAGCTCACGAGCCATTTTTCAGCCACTGCGACGCTGGTTTCGATCAAGTCGGTTCGATCAAGTCGAACCATTTCTGCTGATGTTGCTGTTTTCTTCCGTCCACTTCCTTAATGTCAGGTTACGCTACCAGTATCACGGTAACGAGCGATGGTACGAAACACAAAAGATTTATTCACATTTAAATGCTGGAGTGCTCTAACAATACCACTTGTGGTTTTCCAGCCAAATATGAAGGAATCACAATATCACGCTTGAACTCAATCACGAATAACTTTTTTTCTGGGAAATTCTCACCAAAAGGCTTTTGTGTTCGCTTGTAAACAATATAATGAGCTGTAACGGGAATAATTTTAACAGCTGTCGGACGATTGGCTTAGGAAAGACATCATTTTGAAGTTGGTTGCAGTATTTATGTGAAGTTGGTTGCAGTAGTATTCTCTTTAAAATTTTGTCGATTACAGACCAGATGATATTTGAGAAAATATTCTTTAAAATTCACGACACAACAGTATTGGATTGTTTGTTCGGGATACCCATAGTATTTTGTTATTGCAAAATGGTCAGGCTTAAACCCTTAATTGTTGTTTTTTATAAAGCAACGTTTGTTTATTAGTGGAAATAATAAAATTAGTGGAAATAATAAAATAAAATAACTTCCGAGGAGAATATCCCAGACAAAAAACAGAGGAACTGATGAGGGTTGGTGGCTCTTTCCGAAACCTAGGTATTCCCTGCCTTACCTCCTGGTAAATATTACTATCGTTCTCCACCAATAAACAAACGATGTCTTTTTTCAAACAAAAAAAAAAAAAAAAAAAAAACTATAAAGGAATTAAGCCTGACCACTTTGCAAGAACCAAATTCACGACTATAGATCTCAAGACTATTAATTTGTAGAAAAAATATTGAGAAACTTACGTTAGAGACCAGATGATCGTTCTTTAACAATCCACAATCTCAGACCTTGAGAAATTATACTTTACAAATCCAAGATCGTAGACCTGATGAAACTTGAGATAAAATTCCTTTCAAATCCGTGATATTAACCCTATAAATTTTTTTTAAAAACTAGTACCCTTGGGAGATTTTTCTTTGAAATTTTCGATTATTGGCCTCAAGGATTATGGATTGAA